TCATGTTATTCCATCAATAAACTCTAAAAGTTCCCTCCAAATTTAAGAAAGGTTTTTTTTATAGCAAATTTCCCTGCAAATTGTCTTTGTCAATTAAGAGAGGCTGGATGTTTGTCGCCTAACTGCGTTGCGCGTCACAACTACATTACATGTTTATTCAACTTGGTATGTTTAATCTTTGAATAACTTTGCGCTAAGAGGTAAAAATAAAATAATTTCCTTTTTTTATCACTCACAGTATAAGGCAAAAACTGTCCCTACGAAGGAAAAGTGACTTTGACAGAAAAAATGAGTAAGTGTTGATAGAAAGTCTGAAGAACAACCCGAGGAAGACCTGACTCAGCGATGTGTTTCTTTAATTGTCTGCTTCACTTTTTGTCTCACTTCACTAATCTTCCAGAATTAGCAGTTTATTTAGATATACTGTCATTCTTTTGGGACGATGATTAGGTGGTAAAAAACGTTTTCTGCAGCGTGGTTAATTATCAATTCCAAAAGAGGTTTATCAAACAACTTTAAAGAAATAAAGAAGCGAAAATCAGCAATAATAAATCGCTCGGAAGTGGAAGAAATGGATTCAATAAAACTTGAATATATTAAATATTTTCAAACGTCGACAATATTTTTCATGCAATATTGTCTCCCTCCCCCCCCCTTAATTTAGGATTTAAAAAAGTGACCGATCGGGAGGAAAACTCTGTAAAACCATTTACAGTCAGTTTCATTTCGCACCCTTTGGTGATTGCGTTACGCACAGGAAGCCCATGAGCGTGAGAATGCTTACTTCACCTTCCCCTTTCTTGCTCGGCGTTGTTTGAAATTGCTTCGTTTGCTAAAATGCCGACATGTTGCTACCCGAGCTCGTTGGTGGTTCTTGTAGTTCCCGCTAGACCAGTGGAGAAAGTAAATGCATAGTCCTAACTAAGTGCAAAAGAGACATCCAAGGTCATCTTAAAACATATAAATGCCATGATGCTCAGCTGAAAAGTGAGTTCATTCTTCTTCTCGGCAGAGCAGGTAAATATCTCATTATCAAACATGTCAAGAATGTTTAGCGAAGGCAAATACTGTATCCCTCCTGCTTTTCTATTTTGCACTAAGATCAATGAGGTTATAACGTGACACAGTTCAACGCCCTTGATTTTATCTTTGCTTTAAGATTTATCTCTTGAATCCACATAAACGCTTGAATACAAGACAACGGGATGCCAGTCAGCATTATATGTTGTCATGAAATATAAAGCATTGGTCCATGCCTACAATTTATTTATTTATTTATCTATCCATTCCTTCCTTCTTTCATTCCTTCATTTATACATTTATTTATTTATTTATTCATCCATTTATTCATTTATTTAATAAGTACACATATTATATAACTATTATAAATAAGATCCATTTTATTTACATTATTATACGAAATGGGTCTGGGGGAGGGCCGGGGTTCGCATTGAATTGCACACCCTCTACACCAAACTAAGTTCCCATGATATGAAATTTCGTTTGTTTGTTTCGTTGTCTTATGTTTTTGTTTGTGTGTGTGTGTGTGTGTGTGTTTGTTTGTTTGGTTTGCTTGTTTCTTTTGCTTTCTATTTCTATCATTCTGAGTGAACAAGTAAACGACTTCGCTCTTTCAGGTATATTTGAAGTCGAGGAAAGGCATAAAGAACTTTCAATTTGTCCCAGACATAGAGACGACTTCGGGACTAGATGGTTATGCAATAAAAAAAAAATGCTCTTGTCCATCGGATTGGGCTCCACATGGGAAGTCTTCTCGGGAGGTGATCGAGGCATGACTCTGCAACAGTCTCAAAAGCTTTATGCTTTAAAATCTACACTTGTTCCGGTGGGGGTCACGTGAGTATACATCAGAATTCCATCCTGACCGCCACCTTGATAAGAGATAGTATCAGGATAGTAGAAGAGAAAACTACCCTCATTGATAAAAGCAAAGATACTCTATGTGCAAAAGCTGACAGAAGGAACAAGAACACAACCTCAAATGGCCAGCTTTACTGTACTGATGTCAAGCTCGACAAAACTTTCGGAAGGCTGGGCACTGAGGGCGTCTAAGAAATCAAAGCATTTCAACGAAAACCAAAAGAATTATCTCGATGAAAAGTTCAAACTTGGCCAGGAGACTGGTTACAAAGAAGATCCATCCCAAGTTGCGAGTGATATGCGTCGCGCTAAAAATGAAAACGGAGAGCGTCGATTTGCTGTTGGCGAGTTTTTATCACCACAGCAGATAAAGTCGTACTTCTCAAGGTCAGTAGCAAAGATCAAACAGGCGGAATCGGTAGCAGAGATCGATGTACCAGCCATTGATGAAGAAATGACATACTCCTCAGCTCACGAACAAGCTTACTCGTTTCATTATTTCTTTCCTTCAAGATATATGCACATATTTCCAATTGGAAATTGATTCCCTTCCTGCTACACGAAAGCGCCATACGTTCGTCTGATCAACGAACTGATAAATCCGTGTACGTGCAAAGAAAAATAGGAACTTTCCAGCTGGAAGTGACCATAGTCTTCGTATTCAGAAAGTAATAACTCCTGGAATAGAGGGACACCAACATTATTCCAACTGCTTCGAGAGAAATAAGTACAATAGGAGCATATGCGTCGTACACAGCTACGATACGACATTATCCCTTTGTAGCTTTGTTACAAGAAAATTGGCAGTGAAAACCTCACGTTTACATACACATGTTTTAGATCGAAAGGATTTTATAAAGACTAACCTTGTTCTGTTAAAAACGTTGGTCATCTTCTCTATCATTCTCACTTAATCGACTTCCTGTGTGTAACGCAATCACATGGATAAGTTTTGAAAAGGGTGGAGCGGGCTAAAGTGCATGCTCTTGGCATGGAAACCACTTCTAAAGGTAACATTTTGTGTAATTATAGCCTGGGCAATTCCTTCTGATGTTAAAAAAGTTTTTGTTATCGTTGGGTTGGTATTAGTTGCGAATATGACCGTTGTAACAACATAAACCAGCAATTTGCATATACTAGACTATCGAAGATTGCCCAGATTGCCTTGACTTTTGGCTTCAGGAGAAAATTATATGTATATTTAATATGAAAGAGACCTGTTTCGAAGTTTTTATATGAAATAAGAGGGAATTCGAGTGTTTTGGTAATGTTTTTCTTAATATGACGTGCAAGTCACGTTGGTCACGTAACGCGCCTCTAATATAAATCGCTCTAAAAATTAGTGGTTTAAATAGCCCAAAAATTTTATTGCAGTTTCTAAAAGAAGAAGCCTTGTTCTTGACAATGATTATTGTCTCATGGTCAGTTTATGGAGCCATGTGATAATGGCCGATTTTAGTCGCCAAAGTTGAGCTATGTTTTGATGGATGAAATTTCACCTGAATTAGAAAATTTGTAAAAAAAATCGTTTTTCCAGGAATCTTGGAAAAAATACTTCAGAACCTTTGAAAAATATCTCTTGTTTTAGAATTGTTATGTTGTTTCCGAATTGCTGGTGAAATAAGTTTTTTTCGGCCATTATCTTTAGGTGCACTATTTCACCGGGAAAACACGGTTATGAACCTCCAAAACACAAAATGCCACCGTTCTCCCAACATAATTTTTTTTCGGCATTTTTGATATTTTTCCATAACTAAGGACAGTTATACCTATGTTCTGGCAAAGTTTGAAAAAATTTCAATTTTTTCATTTTCAACACCTCTGCTCGATTTTCACAGACGACCACTCTTACACCACTTTTTAAGTTTTATCCAATGCTTTGATATTGTTTACAAAGGATTAATTCGTTTGACGGTCTTCACTGCGGACTCATTTTAGCTTTTCAGTTTTTCGAAGCAAACGGTTTTGATACATCTGTTGATGTTCGCTAAATGCAGTCTTTAAATCGAACTAAACGCTCAGCGTCTCGCTCACCTAGAAAAACCCACATGGTCTGTCTCTTAATTAGCAGCTTTAAAACGAGCTTTAGATTCAATAGACAATATCATTCGTTACCTACATCTGCACTGTGTCGTTTTGGTCGACTGAACTGTTCAGAGGAAAATTTTCCGGCAGATTTCTTTAAAACTTTCACATGTGCATCATTGTCAACCGATTCGTTCAATGAAAACTCGAATTACCGGAACGAAATGCGAAACAAAAGCCCTGTTTCAATTTTTTATGTCAGGTAGGATTTTAACAAGCGTACACGTGCGTTCGAGAAGGTAGAGCCATTATTTAATGAGAAACTGAACAAATTTATAATATTATTAACTCAGTATAGGCTATTTAAAGCTCGTTAACTTGTACTTTGTAAAATATATCGTTAATTAATTCAAAACATTCATGATAATCCGTGTAAATGTTTAATTTAATGAAGGATCGATCGGCACTGGAGCAGCAACCCTCTGAAACCGCATCCCGCGTAGTCTTTAATAAAAACTGTTATAGTCAATTTTATTTCTTTCGCTTTCTTGTAATAACATTCATGAGAGTATAATTTAATTCAAGGGATTATAAGAGATTATATATCCTCTTGTGCACGTATATCTTTCCTTGGATTAATAATTTATGTACTCAAAAAGAAGTTTAGTAGCATGAAAAATATTTTTTTTTAAAAGTTTTGGTTTGTGTTTCCATTACCTTTCCTTTATTTTGTTTTACGTGACTAGCAAAAAAAACTATCGACAGACCTCGAGCAAAAATTTAAGCGACAAGCGTTCTCTATCGGTTAGCTTTGCACTGAAAGTACTTATACGATCATATATAACTCGAGGATGGTCTAACTCCATGGACAGCAAAGTGCTTGTCTGATTGTCTGCTTCATTGCTCGTCTTACCTCGCTAATCTTCCAGCAGTATAGGAACGGGTTTAACGTCGAGTTAAAGTAAACAAGAATAGTTGCCATTTCACTTGTGACGACTAAGTGTGATGAGTATGTTGTACTATAAGTGACTACAATTCCCATAATATAGTATGGTGTATAACAAACAACTAAAACTGACTGTACCCACAGTGCACTATGCACTGCTTTTTCTGTATCGCGCCATGTTCAGTGCATTTGGTTGGCTTGGCTGTTGTTGAAATTGTGCCTGATGATGTCTAATAGTGCGAAAAATCTTTGTGTACGAGGCGAGTGAAATAAGCAGCGAAAGTGGTATCAATATCCGGGTATACAAAGCGGTTTTACGCTGATCGAAAATGATGCGTAAAGAGGCGACAAGACATAAAACCCAGAAGCTAGCTATAGTGATATAAACACCCTTCAAATTTACAATCTCTCTATATCTCAGCCCCAATAACAGGGCGAGAAGCCTGTCCACGCTTATTACCGTCATCGTCAGCAAAGAAACTCCACATAATGCTACGCTTGTGATGTAAGCTGCTTTTATTGCGTAATGACAAAGGCTCCAGTGTTCGTGAACCACGGACATCAAATAAGTAACATAGAGAGGCTGAGCAACAAGACCAACCAACAGATCAGTTGTCGCCAGACAACGATACAAGAGTTTGGACGGCGGGTGGAGGGAAGATATTTTGTGAAGGGCAACAAGGGTAAGAGAATTACCCAGAAATGCCGTGATGGAGAGGAGAATGTTGACTGCTGGGAAAGAAACTGATGCTGATTGAAGCTCACCCATCCAAGAGGGGGAGCATTGCGGTACTTTAAATGTTTTTGTCTGTGTTCCACCTCTGGTGAAATTTGTTGTCGTCATAATTCTGCATTCGTTTCCTCTGTTCTTGCTACGAGAAATATTGCGTCCAACTGAAACCTTCCTTTAATAAACACATTAAGACTTCCTCATTAGCTTTCAATCATTTAAAGTGCGTCAGAAATTTGCAGCTGTGGAATGCCTCACGTCTGAAACTGATGCTGATTGATGCCCACGCACTAAAGACGGAGATCATAGCAGCTCTTCAATTGTTTTCGTCTGTGTTCCAACTCTTTTGAAATTTGTTGCAGGTTATCGAAGATTGCAACGAGTAATATGTCGTCTAAACAGCCCACATCTAGCCACGATCAATTACACCTCATACTTCAGTTAATGACATTTATACACGTAGAGAATTCCTCATCAGCTTTAACTCATTTAAAATACGTCAGAAAATTGTCAGTTTTGTCAAAAATTGAACCTTTAAAGTGCCTCAGGTATGAAATGGCAATAAGTAGAAAATGGAGAGACATCTGTAGTATCATTCTTTTAAAAGAACGACGAACGATCTTCTTTTACCTGGATCAACTTTCACTGATAAAGTGGTAACCTGGTGTCCATATCATTTGTGTGAAGTTCAGTCTTGTATCATTATTAGCCATGAAAAATTGGAAATAAAAATTTCAAGCTGGCGATTTTACTTTGTCTTAGAAAAGTCGGATTTGAGAAAATCTACGAATACATCAAACAATTCAAATTTAAATTTTGGTCACAGATGCAAACGTATTTTAAATGTTTGAATCAATTGTAATGACAGGTTTTTCTCTTTCCGTTTTGCGTCCGCGGACTGATATTAAAAACAAAACCGTAACAAGATGTTATGCCGCCCGCCAACGATTTTTTCAAATTCGTTCTCTACCAGCTTTTTCACTTTCGTCAGGAAAGTTATGATTATTTTTTTAACAAAAACTGTTTTGCCTATTTTGCCTTTTTCGTCCTATGATGTAATTTCCTTTCTTCTTCCAAATGGTCAACGAGATAAGAAAAATGGGCGCTAACTGAAAATAGAGGAGGCGGAGAAACCATTGTTTTGCACCAGCCATGATGGCCCTAAGCGCTCGGTATCATTTTAATCCTAGAGATCCATCGGGTACCAAAATATTAATTTCTTTTTCGTTTGATGCCAATTTTCATATTCAAACTTTACATTTTTCATTTTTCGATCTAGAATTTTTCTTACAAGTGCAGATATAGTTACTAACCATTCTTAAAAAATGAGTTAATCACTGAAAAGTGCGAATATTGAATCAGTTTCTTTTGTAGGTGTCTTTTTTCCTTAGGAAGCTTCCTTCTAGTCTGATAACTCATTGTGGCGACGACAACTTAAAAACTAAACAAGCATATATTTGTCGCAACCAGCTGTATATTCCAGTAGGTTAAGTTGAATTTAACTTCAAATTAACATTAAAAGTTAATTTCTTTGGCAAGCGCACAGACATCGGTAAAATTTTCGATTGACGATATGATAAGGAAACTCTCTTTTGTCAGTCTAGGAATGACAGCATAAGCGGTTTAAGCGGTATATCTAAATATACTTTCATTCTTTTGGGCCGGTAATTAAGTGCAAACATTATCCCTGTATTGTGGTAAATTCTGAATTTGAAGGCCGATGTTTATACAACGTAGTTTCATCGACATTGGGTGTCAATCACATGTCCATATCATTTGCGTAAATAATATTGAGCCATGGCCTCAGATGCAAACTTAATTAGTAACATTTTGTGGCTCTTTAACCTCCGTTTCTTCTCCGACAAAACGAGAAACAAAACAGAAGGCAAAAAATTACTTTTTTAAACAATTTTTCGCTGTTTCTTTTACATTCTCTATTTGTTCTCCTCCTTTCGCCAAAAGTTTTAAAGTGATTGTCTTGGAAAAATTGTAAGACGAAGCTCGCCTAAATTTTTCTCTGCCAACGCTTTCATGTATACAGCAGTAACTGAATTCTTCATGTCGTAATTCCCCTGAGCGATTGGCAATTGTCCTCCGATAACCAAAGTTATATGACTGTGTTAAATTGGACATGATATTCTATTGACCGAGAAGGAAAATGAAGGAATCGATACTTAAAAACTATCAACATTCGATAAAAATATTTAACAATTATTTGCCGAAGATGAAGTGAATAATAATTTTGTTGATTATTCCCGCGATGATGTTGAGTTAAAAACTACACCTTGTTAAACATACATAAACAGCATTTATTATTTATGAACCTACGATCACTCTTGGTTGCGTGTTAAGTAACTCCAGCGTATCTTTCAAGCTCTTCAAACTTCCTGCGTTTATCGTATATTTAATGGCCGCACAGTCACACACGAAACAACTGTTAAAAATACCCTGTCAAAGATTAGGAAAAATTAGTTAACCACCACAAACACGCCACCTCGTTTTAAGTTGGAAAAATTTTCGTTTTTGCAAAATGATTTCTCTCGATAGATTTAATATTTTATTCCGGCTTCAAATTAGTCATTTCCTTTACCAACGGAGGATTAGCTGACAGAAAAATCACCTTAATCTTAATCGCTGAAAATGGGTCAATTCCTCCCTTAACAAGAGTTCTTTCCCAGGGAATTTTCTTTCTGATCCTCTATGATAATTCAGTACCTTGAAAATTAAACAAGAACATGTTCGTCGCAACCAGCTGTTGATTTCAGTAAATAAAGTTTCAGTTTAATTTCAAATTAGCACTGAAAGTGAATTCCCTTGACAAACACAAAGACATGGGCTATGTTTTTTGTTTTACAATACGATATGGGCCTCCTAAGTCTTAAAAGATCCATTTTGTCACTTCTTTAATGGGTGAAATAAACATGTCGTTCTTTGGGCGATAATTAGATGGTATGATATTGAAGGAAAGTGTGAGCTTATATAAAGCTTTGAAAACGAATCAATAAAAAAAAAATTGTGGAACTTCGGGACAGCAGGTAATCACTTGGAAATGGAGGAAATAAAATCCGTAAAACTCAGAGGCAACCTAAAGATACATAAGGGACAAACTGGACCTCTATGCAAATGATGTGAAACTTGTTTTTCGCTGTTGCCAATATAATTTCAGAACATTAATCGATCTGTAAAAAAGTTCTGTAACAAACAGAGATGGTCAATTTTATTCCATTTACTTTCGTAACTTTCAAATTGTCACACCAGCAAACCATTTTCTGCAACTGTAAAAGGAAAGTTATTCAATTTTTGTTCCAGCGATTCTCTTAAACAGTTGATGACTCTCCTTTAGTGATGACAATTAGTTACAAGATAATTTATTAATCGAGATGGAAAATGAAGGGATGGGCGCTCAAGGCTTATCAGCAGTCGATAAAAAAATTACAATTGCTCTAGGAGAGGCTTCGTCTTTACCAACCCTGACCCATATTTCAAACTCACTAAAACTGCCACGTGCCTTTTATCGCACACTGAGGAACGAATAAGTTGTTAAGAAGACACCTGCTTGTCAAGACAGATTCGGACTTGTTTTAGGCCTCGTTTACATGACTGCGTTTCCTTCGGCTCTATAAATATATGTAAATACCTGTTTTTGAAAACCTTTCAAATCTGAAAATATATATCAAACAAATATATATTTTCTTTGCTCGTCAAAAAGAGACACTTTGTGATGAGAAAAGAAAATATATACACAGACTATTTAATATATTTTTTCAAATAGCAACGTTTTCGAAAATGGATTTATATATATATTTAGATATTAACTTTAGATCCATTGTTTTATTTTCGGACGGGAAAATTGCTGATAGACAAACAAACAACTCGTTCAATTCTTTAATACAGAGCAGGAGTTTTATCCTGGAAATTTTAATTCCTCCGAATAGCGACTGCAGCCGATCGAACCACTAGCGCGTTTGGGTGGACTGCGACAAGTTTCTAATCTGAATCAGTGAATTTAAATTTAAGTACAAATTAGCACTAAAAGTTAATTTCTTTGACAAACAAATAGATTAATAATACCTTTTTTAAATGATAAAATAAACAGTATATTATGATAAGATGTCATTTAAGGGCCGATTATTAAATATAAATATTCTCCCTTTACTGAGGACAATACTAAGCAATTACGGGGAAAAGTTAGCCTATGTGACCCTGTGATATAATATCCTTTCTTCCTGCGTCTTGTTAGTGAGATAATAAAGGTGTTTTTGTATAAAGAAAGCTCTCGTGTAAACGGCAGGTAACTTTGTGATGCTCTGGGGCAATTTTCAAAATTCTACTTTGATTGCAACGGTTACATCGTAATACTGAAGTGAAGAAAACAATTTATAAGTGGTGGTCCAAAATCAATAGACGTATGCTAAGGAATTATCAAAACTCGCCGCACAGATCTTCAATTCTACCTTCATCAGCAACATTTACTTCAGAACTCCCTCACTAGCGTTTACTCTTTGAAAAGACTATTGACAAAAGATAGACGTACAACGATTCTACTGAACTTCTATTTCTTCCGCTTAATCAATAATATTTTTGACGAGCGTTCCCTAATAACAATCGTGACTTAATGAAAGTCTTACAAAACCAAACCGAGGAGGAGGTAACGCTAAGGACGGCAAAGTGCTTCTCTGACTGCCTGTTTCACTGCTTGTTTTACTTCACTAATTTTCTAGCAGTAAAGAACGGATATAACTTCAAGTTAAAGTAAAGTAAGACAATTGATACTCTCCATAAAACGACTAGGTGTGACTGATATGTTTTACTATAGATTGGTCCGCAACAAACAACTAACGCTAACTGCAGCTCCAGTGGTACACAGCCTCTCTGTGTCGCGCCAACCGAACAGCGACTGCATCTTAACCAGTAAACAGTTTGTGTTAACCCCTTTAACTCCCAGATCAAATTTGTATTTCTCCTTACCATCAGTCATACAATTCTCATAATGTTAGTCCAGAGAATATAGTATTGGATCAACTAATTATCCCCAAATTGACATTTTTCTTGATTCTCACCACTAATCTGGTTGGTTTTGTATTGATATTGTAAGGAGAAATTCTGTCATGGTAACTCATGGGATTTAAAGGGTTAATTAATTAAGATATGAAGCACGCAGGAAGCTGAGGAGACATCATCCAGCCATGACACCCTCGGCCTCGTTTTGAGTACGAAATTTCATCAAATACTAAATTATTCATTTCGTAACATATTTACTTTTCTTTCGACTCTACATTATTTATTTTAACTTTTAAACCATTATTTTATTCATCGATGGGGAAATAGCTGAGAAGCAAACCACACGAGTGCCTTCATTGTCAAAAAAAAATGCAACAACTTATTTGATTCTTGTGTAAAGTTCTTTTCTCGGCAATTCGCCTTCCCATTTATCTCTTCTTTAATTATTCCGAATAGCGACTACAACGACTGTGTTGCCCATTTATCACTTCACAGTGATAAATGGGCAACACAGTGGTCAAAGATTACGCATGCGCATTTAGATGGGTGATTTGCTATTATAAACTTTTAGAATCTAAGTGATGCGTAGCTTTTTGCTGTTTCTTGGGAAAGTTCTAAAGTTTCTAAGGCCTTTACACTCTCGTTTTTTTTTTTTTACACTTTGCTTAGCGGTGTAAATGAAGTCGTAAGCTTAGCCATGCTGGCGAGGTAAAAAGTAAGCTTCTCTAATTTGCCTTCATCGCCGGAACGAGGCATCTGCGTTAAAAATAAGTTGAAATATCTCAACATAAAATAAGACCAAGATTTAAGCTTTCTCCGAAAACCCTCTTTCAACTGTATTACGCATTCAATTTGGAAAAGTTAGGAATTTAACCTTTCCTTCTTCACTTCACGTAATACACACGTTTGCAAATCCCTCCTATTCTTTTCAAAACACGTGCATGCACGGTGTTTGACCGCTGTGAGTAAGATGGTCTAACTCCATGGAAAGCAAAGTGCTTGTCTGATTGTCTGCTTCATTGCTTGTCTTTCTTCCCTAATCTTCCAGCAGTAAAGAAACGGGTTTAACGTCGATTTAAAATAAATCAAGACAACGGTCATTCCCCTTAGGGTGACCCAATGAGATGAATGTGTTTTACTATGTGCAATCGCGGTTACCACTATGAAGGATGGTGCAAAACAAACAACTACTGCTAACTTCACCCACAGTAAATCTTTGATGTAATCTTAGGGTGCCTAGCAGTTCTTCAAATGTTTTCGTTTGTGTTCCACCGCTAGTGAACTCTGTTGTCGACATTGCTCTGTATTCGTTCCTTTTTTCTTGTACTGAGGTAACTAGAAACAAGAAATATTTCGTTTAGACTGCATACGCCGAGCGACGATGACTGAAACTTCCTTCAATAAACACATAGAGACTTCCTCATCAGCGTTTGCTCATTCAAAGTACGTAAGAAAATTGTTTGTTGTGCCAAAGAGTTGATTTCTTTTTATCCGGAACCTGTGATGAGCCTCTTGTATGAAATAGCAGCAAGAGGCAAACAGAGAGACAACTGTGATATCATTTTTATGGGGCGAAAAACATCCTTTTTTCAGCTGATCGACCGTTGGAACATGTGGGGTGGCTCACGGATGAAATAGCAGTAAAAGGAAAAAATAGAGACATTGTAATATCAGTTTTTCTCAATCAAAATGCGATAAACAATCCCTCAGATTCAAGCTACTTTTTAATATTTGAATTAAATCACGTTTTCATGGTTTGATGCATATGGAGATTTCACGAGTCCAAATTTTCTTACATCATTCAAAGTTGCCAGCTTGATCTTCGTAATTTCAGTTTGTCGAGGCTGATAATGATTGAAGTATTAATTTCACACAGATGATATGGACACTTGATTAGCTCCCTTTCAATGAAAGTTCATTAAGAAAAGTCACCAGAATGGGAAAAAAATAGCTTCAAGAGTCAAACGTACAGACAGACATCTTTGATACTATTAGCATTTCACAATTATTTTAAACGCCGTCCTCTCAGGTACGTAGAAATTCACCTTTAGCTGAGCGGAGAAGATGAAGTATAACGTTTAATCTCGGAAAGTTAAAGATTTTGAAAAGAATTCAAAAAGAAAAGGAAAGTTTTGATTTAAATCCATGCACCCACTTACACAATGTTTGTTTTATTACATCATTATCAATTACATTTTAAAACATTCATAAGCTACATGGATATTTTTCTGATGAAAAAAAAAATTACGTTTACAACTTTTTATAACAAGGACAAGAGAGTTGTCAGGAGATGCTGTGATGGAGAGGAGAATGTAAACCGCAGGGAAAAAAAATTGTTGGTTGATGCAACTCATCTACCAAACAAGTGGATAAAGCCATTGTTTCTTTCGCTTTCTTATAGAGTATAAGTTACGTCATGAGATTGTAAGAGATTATATATTCTCTTGTGCAAGTATATCTTTCCTTTAATTAATGATTGATGCATGCAAAGTAAAGTTTGGTAGCATGTAAAATACTTTTTAAAAGTTTTGGTTTGTGTTTCCATTACCTTTCCTTTAATTTGTTTTACGTGACTAGCAAAAAATACTATCGACAGACCTCGAGCAAAAATTTAAGCGACGAGCGTTCTCTATCGGTCAGCTTTGCGCTAAAAGTATTTATGCGGAGGTGTATAACTCGAGGATGGTCTAACTCCATGGACAGCAAAGTGCATGTCGGATTGTCTGCTTCATTGCTCGTCTCGCTTTAGTAATCTTCCAGCAATAGAGAAAAGGGTTTAACGTCGAGTTAAAGAAAACTAAGATAACTTCCATTAAGCTTTGGTGTGAATGGGGCATAAGCCAATGCGATGCCTAATTGTGATGAGTATTGTATTTGTGTCTCAGCCCTGCCAACGGGGCGAGAAGTCTGTCCACGCTTATTGCCGCCATCGTCAACAAAGAAACTCCACATAATGCTGAGCCTATGATGTAGGCTGCTGTCTCTTCGTAATAACAAAGAGTCCAGTGTTCGTGAACCACGGACATCCAACAGGTAACATAGAGAGGCTGAGCACTAAGACCATCCAACAGATCAGTTGTTGCCAGACAACGATACAAGAGTTTGGACGGCACATGGAGGGCAGATTCCTTGTGAAGGGCAACAAGGATAAGAGAATTGCTAAGAAATGTTGTGATGGAGAGGAGAATGTTGACTGATGCGAAAGATGCTGGTTGAAGCCCACCCACCAAAGAGGGGGAGCATAGCAGTTCTTCAGATGTTTTCGGCAGTGTTCCACCTCTGGTGAAATTTGTTGTCGACATAATTCTGCATTCGTTTCCTCTGTTCTTGCAACGAGAAATATTTCATCTAACTGAAACTCAAAAAAAAAAAAAAAAAAGACTTCCTCACTAGCTTTCAATCATTTAAAATGCCTCAGAAATCTGTAGCTGTGGGATGCCTCAGGCAGAAAACTGATGCTGATTGATGCCCCCGCTTAAGAGGGAGAGCATAGGACTTCTTCAATTGTTTTCGTCTGTGTTCCAATTGTTATGGAATTTGTTGTAGGCTATCTAAGATTGCAATGAGTAATATGTCGTCTAAACAGCCCACAACCAGCCACGATCAATGACACCTCATACATCAGTTAATAGTATTCATACACATGGACTAATTCCTCATCAGCGTTAACTCATTTAAAATCGTCAGAAAATTGTCTGTTGTGTCCACTTATTGAACCTTTGAAGTGCCTCAGGTATAAAATGGCAATAAGTAGACAATGGAGAGACATCTGTAGTATTATTCTTTTAAAAGAACGACGAACAATCTCCTTTTACTTGGATCAACTTTCACTGATATAGTGCTAACCTGGTGTCCAAATCATTCGTGTGAAGTTCAGACTTGTATCATTAGTAGCCATGAAGAATTGGAAATAAAAATTTCAAGCTGGCGATTTTACTTGGTCTTAGAAAAGTTGGATTGGAGACAATCTGCGAATACATCAAACAATTCAAATTTAAATTTTGGTCACAGATGAAAACGTATTTCTAAATGCTTGAGTCGATTTGTAAAGACGTGCTTTTTTCTTTCCGTTTTGTTTTGCGTCTCCGGACTTATATTAAAAACAAAACCGTAACAAGATGGTATGCCCCGCGCCAAACCATTTTTTTAAATTCGTTCTTTACCAGCCTTTTTTCCTTTCGTCAGGAAAATTATAATGGTGTTTTTTTTAACAAAAACTGTTTTGCCTATTTTGCCTATTTCGCCCCATGATTTAATTTCCTTTCTTCATCCCTTTGGTCAACAAGATAAGAAAAATAGGCGTTAACTGAAAATAAAGGAGGCGGAGAAACTATTATTTTGCACCAGCCATGATGGCACTACGCGCTCAGTATCGTTTTAATCCCAGGGTTCCATCAGGTACCAAAATAATCATTTCTTTTCGTTTGATGCTAATTTTTGTTCCAACTTTACATTTGTCATTTTCGATCTACAATTTTTCTTCTTTTTAAAGTTAATTCCTTTAGTAAGCACACAGACATCGGCTCTATTTTTGTTTGACGATATGATAAGGAAACTCTCTTTTGTCAGTTTTTGAGAGACAGAATAAGCGGTTAAAGAGGTATATTTAAATGTACTGTCATTCTTTTGGGCCGGTAATTAAGTGCAATCATTATCCCTGCATTGTGATAGATTCTGAATTCCGAAAAAGCTTCGGGAAATGAGTTCAAGGAGAAAAGGAGAGAAAGTTAGGAACAGTTAATCACTCGGGTTGGTAGACATAGGATCAATAAAACTTGAAGACAACTTAAACATAGACCAGCATTAAACTGGATATATCAACTATTTCAAAAGTTGACAATATTCTTGTCATGAGTTAATCTGTGATAGCAACCAGAAAAATATTTCATTTAGTTAACGCCAATTGCACAAGAACGATCCCTGAAACCCTATTTCCTATATAACATTTCAAATAAAAACCTACTCACTATTGTTTACACGTTTGAAATACGTCATAAAATTGTTCGCTGTGTCAAAAAAGCCTTTTTTGTGCTTAACTTGTCATGTACATCATGTATGAAATAGGAATAAGTAGCAACTATTCAAAGACATCTTTAAAATTATTATTTCGTGTTGCAACAAACAATCCCGCTTTATAATTATTTTGCGAGAAGGCACTCAATATTATGGCTTTAATGCGAATTGAATAAGTTTGAGGATGTAAGGCTACAGATGCAAACTTATTTTAAGATATTTAGATTTAACTGTGTGATTGGTAACATTTTGTGGCTCTTTTATCTCCGTTACGTTTCCGAGATAACGAGAAACAATACAAAAGAAAAGCAAGAAATTACGTGTTCAAAAAATTTTTTGCTGTTTCTTTTACATTTTCTTTTTGTTCTCTCCTTTCGCCATCAATTTTGCAGCGATTGTCCTGGAAAAATTACTCTCCGATAACCCGAGTTACATGCATGGCTATGCTAAAGTGAACATGATAATCTATTGATCGAGAAGGAAAATGACGGAATGTATACTTAAAAACTATCAAACAATCGATAAAAATATTTAAGAATTATTTTCAGAAGATGAAGTAAATATTGTTGAATAATTCCCGAGACGAATAAACCTACATTAACAGCATTTATTATTATTTATTGTTAAGCAACTCCAATGTATCTTTCAAGCTCCTCAAACTTCCTGCATGCATCGTATATTAATGACCGCGCACAGACGCACGAAACAATCGTTAAAAATACTCTGTTTAAGATTAGGAGAAATTAGTTAACCACCACAGATACGCCGCCTCGTTTAAGTTTGGGGTCAAAGCAAATTTTGTTTTTGCAGAATAATTGCTCTTTATAGATTCAAAATTTAGATCGGCTTCAAATCAGTCATTTCATTTACCGACGGAGGATTAGCTGACAGAAAAACTAGATGAATGACTTAATTAATTGCTAAGAGATGCGTTAATCCTTCCTCAGAAAGAGTTCTTTCCCTGGGAATTTTCTTTTCAGTACAGCGACGGTAGCTTTAAAACTAATCAAACAAAAAGATGTTTGTCGCAACCAGCTGTTGATTTTACTAGGTAACGTTTCAGTTTAATTTCAAATTAGCATTGAAAGGGAATTTCCTTGACAAACACAAAGACATGGGCTATATTTTTTTGTTTTACAATACGATATGAGACTCCTTAGTCTTAAAAGATCTATTTTATCACTTCTTTAATGGGTGAAATAAACCTGTCGTTTTTAGGCCGATAATTAGATGGTATGGTATTGAAGCAAATTCTGAGCTCATACTAAAGCTTTGAAAACGAATAAAAAAAAAACATTTGAGGAACTTTGTGACAGCAGTTAATCACTCAGAAATGGAAGAAATAAAATCCGTAAAACTCAGAGACAACCTAAAGATACACCAGCAACAAACTGAACATATGGTGACCTCTGTACAATGATACGAAACTTATTTTTCGCCGTTGCCAATATAACTTCAGCACATCGATCGATCTGTAAAAAAATTCCGTAACAAACAGAGATGGTCAATTTTATTTCATATACTTTCGTAACTTTCAGTTAAATATACAAGAAAAAATAAACTTCTTCACATAAGCTTTACGGATAATTTTCTGATCACAAAACAAACAAATTCTAGACTTAAACTGGACTGTCTCTTTTGGCAATATGGCGTCAACATCAAAGTCAAGCGCTTTCTTTTAATTACAGGAAAAATGAGTCGAAATAGTTTTCTCGAAACACGCAACATCGGCCTCAAACACATCTCTTAAACTCCTCTTCGAAGTTTTATCTGATACCTTCATACTGCTAAGAGGAGAAAACATGAAAGTAAAATGTTTGCATATCTTTTCTTCGATTATGACATCTTGTATTTTAGCATAGCGGCAAGAAACCATATTTTTGAAAACACATACTACCGTTACCTAGTCTGTCGTTAAATTTTTCTCAGAGATATAAAGACTATCGACAACAGCCTGTGCAACTATATATTCTATTGAGCCACTAATTTACTTTTATCCAATAAAGTATTTAACAACTGCTCTCTAATAATAATTGTGACTTAATAAGTCTGCTTTCAAAGTCTGAGGAACAACTCGAGGATGACCTAACTCAGCAAAGTGCTTCTCTAATTGCCTGCTTCATGGCTTGTCTCACTTCACTAATCTTCCAGCAGTATAGGAACGGGTTTAACGTCGAGTTGAAGCAAATTAAAATTACTGCTACTTTACATATGACGACTAGGAGAAATGAATATTTTTTGGTATGAGCGATCACAATGTTCACTATACATATTGGTGCATAACAAACAACTAATGCTAACTGCACCCACAGTGCACTGTTTACTGCCCTTCTGAATCGCGCCATGTTCAGTGTATTTGTTTGGCTCGGCTGTTGTTGATCTCCTACTTGTGCTTGATGATATCTGAGAGTGCAAAAAATCTTTGTGTACGATGCGAATGATATTACCAGGCAAAATGACATAACTAGGGAGCTGTACATAAAGAATATACGGTGATAAAAAAATTCACTTAAAGAGGCGACAAGGGTAAAAACCCAAAAGGTAGTTACAATAATATACGCGCGCTTCAAAGTGACAATTTGTTTGTATCTCAGTCCCAACATCAGGGCGAGAAGTCTGTCCACGCTTATGGCCGTCATCGTCATCAAAGACACTAAACTCAATACACGGCCTGTGGCGCTGGCTGCGTCCCTTGCGTATCGACAAAGGCTCCAGTGTTCCTGAACCACGGACATCCAACATAGAGCATCGAGAGGCTGAGCAACAAGACCAATCAACAGATCAGTGGTTGCCAAACAACGATACAGGAGTTTTGACTGCGGAT